AATGTGGGATCCTATACTTTTTTATGCACAATCTCTTCCCCAAAATGAAATATTTTTGACACATTATTTTTCAGACTTTTGGAGAATTATTTTCCATTTGAAAAATGTGATATAGTGATTTATATGACAAAATCCATAATAAGTCAATTCTGAGTCTAAGACGAAGCAAAGATTTTCTGGTAAAATGGCCTGCAAATACAGTAATTTAAAATTATTCTTATCCATCGATCCACCCTTTTTTGATAATTATTATTAGAAAGAAAGAGTGATATCTGTGCTCATGTTATTACAGATTTCTATTGCTAACCATTAACAGCAGGACAATGGCCTTTACAGCTCAAAGACATATTCCTTAATCAATATCATTAATCAGTACTAATTATCAAGTCAGTCACTCTCATGAAGCACCACTGTATAACTTGCTATTTTAAAATTTGTTCAGAGGCCATTTGATGTTTTCTTATAAAATAAATATCTAGTGGCACATGCTAAAGCCAAAAGCAGGAGCCATTAACAAAATATGTCAGTACATGCTAAAGCAAAGATCAGGTGCCATTGGTCAAGTTTTGTTTATTTATTACAGTGAATAAATTGCAAGTTTTAAATCTCTATCATAAATGTAGAAGTCATTAAAGTAAGTGAATCTGATTCCTGGATAGGATCATTGTAATGTTTATACTATTTCTGCTTTTTGAGTTTCTATGAACAAAGTAGAGCCAAACTATTTTACTATTAATTACATCTGTGTCCAGATGAAAGAAAGCATATACATTTGTCCACCCTCACTGAATGTTGATCATTCTTTCTAACTAGGTTATTGGCAACAATTTGGAGTGATTTCAGAGCACCAAGCATATGGGGAGGTTCCATATATAGGTTAACTTTGTAGATTCATGTACAATACTTGCACATTCTTTAGTTTTTGCATTTAGCTCAGGTTTTTTGCATACTATATAACTTGGTTAAAGAATGCATGTTGATGAGTGCTACATACCCATCACAAAAGTAGATAACTCTGACTATATTATAACACTTCTCAAAGTTTGGTTAAATTTTGTATTTTAAGTTTCTCAAGATCTGTTCATGCTGTGATAAACAAATTAGGTGAGCGTATGCTTCTCTGTCAGTACTACAATCGACTTAAGAATGTTAATGATAACTACTTTTTTATTTTACTGGTTTAGGTTAACTTTTTGCATTTAGCTCCTGACCAGATACATTTTTGGTAGAGTGTCATGGACTTCTTTTAATAGCTTTTGGTTGTTAAGTGCATGTATCATCCATATTTATTTTGAATAGTGAACATCACATTTATCAAGCAACTGTTTTTTTGTATTTAAATCCATCAGGGTTCCTGCAGGTCATGAAATCCTGGAAAAGTTTTGGAATTTAAAAAATAAATTTCAAGGGCCTTGAAAAGTTTTGGAATTTGTCAAAACCTTGCAAAGCTTTGGAAAAGTCATGGAATTTGTGACAATGGAGTTAAAGAAATTGATTACTTCAAATTTAATAGAGCACCGAGAACCGAATAAATAAAATTATAAAATTACAATCGATAAATGGTTTCAATTCATATAACAAGATTAATTTCCCCTAATGGAAGTATCACATGATTTCCAGTGTAGTTCACTAAATAAAAGAAAGCAACTGGAAAGTAATGTGTTTTGTTAATATTGTAAATAGGAACACATACAAAGACTACATAGAATTGTTTCCTTTTTTCTTTTGAATACAAATTACATTGATCATTGGATTATGACATGAATTACTACATAAAGTCAAACTGTGAAAGCCCTGGTAAATTTAAAATGTACATATTAAAAATATTTGTTGTTAACTTATTTCTTATTTTAGATTGAAAGATATCATTCTTTGTGTTCATTTACTTGACAATGCAAGATAATGCGGTCCTTGAGTTTTATGAAATGGCCCTAGAAAAGTTTTGGAAAAGTCATGGAATTTGTTTTAGTTAAGTCTGCAGGAACCCTGTTCCATACTGTTAACCTCATTGGTTAGCCTTCCTAATTTCGTCCCATCTCTAAGCCTCTTGTACCCATTCTGACCTTACTAAAATAACCTGGACAGTAAATTTTGGTTTCAGCCAAACAGGGTTCCTACAGGTCATGGAATCCTGGAAAAGTTTTGGAATTTAAAAAATAAATTTCATGGGCCTTGAAAAGTTATGGAATTTGTCAAACCTTGCAAAGTTTTGGAAAAGTCATGGAATTTGTGACAATGGAGTTAAAGAAATTGATTACTTCAAATTTCATAGAGCACTGATTACCGATTAAATAAAAGATAAAATTACTATTGATAAATGGTTTCAATTCATATAACAAGTGTAAGTTCCCCTAATGGAAGTATCACATGATTTCCAGTGTAGTTCACTAAATAAAAGAAAGCAAATGGAAAGTAATGTTTTGTTAATATTGTAAATAGGAACACATACAAAGACTACATAGGATTGTTTCCTTTTTTCTTTTGAATACAAATTACATTTCTAGTCCAGGTAAATTTAAAATGTACATATTAAAAATATTTTTTGTTAACTTATTTTTTATTTTAGATTGAAAGATGTCACTCTTTATGTTCATGTACTTGACAATGCAAGATAGCGCGTTCCTTGAGTTTTATGAAATGGCCCTGGAAAAGTTTTGGAAAAGTCATGGAATTTGTTTTTGTTAAGTCTGCAGGATCCCTGGCCAAATCTTTATGCATATTTAATTAGCATGTAATAACTCAGTATAACCATGTGGATTTCATGTCACTATTGGTCTCATAGTTAAATTGGGAATTAACTGTTTAATCACAGATGTTAATTCACAATGGAATAACATGTCAGTGACCCTGTACATAAAGAAGATCACAAAACATGGTGAAACCCTCTTTCTCCACCACCAACATAACAGCTTAAAGAAATACAGCTTTGAATATAAATGATCTTATGCACAAATATAACATTCTGTTGTTTTTCTCCATCTGTTTCTGTCATAAAATACATACACATTCACTCATAACAATGGAAACTTTTGAGGGTCTTTTTTTTTACTTCCTTTATTTTTTTTTGTAATTTGATTGATCAGGTTAATGCTGCAGCAGGAATGTAATTCACATGTAACTTATACTATCTTATTATTACCTTTTGTAGTATATGTCTGCAAACATGTTTCTCAGTTATTTTAAATTAAGGATTTAAAATAAACACTCTACATGGTCGTGGTTACACCATATTAAATGAATGTTAGCAGTGTTCATTTGTTAAAATAACAGTCATTCACAGCAGTGTCAAAATCCATATTTTGCCACAATATCATGTTTGATGGCTGCTTTCTGCAGGTGGACACCAGTAACAGTGAATGTACATAATAAACGTGCATGATAAATATGGTTGTAAATGATAGGTGGTCAAAATAAAGGTTGCTTAAGACAGGTTTTACTGTTTTACTTTTTACTGAAAAATGTGCTAGAAAGGAATAGCAGTGGGTACGATCAAATCCAGACAAAAACTATACAAGTTTTTTTTTCCATTTATACAGGTAGGTTAGCAAGTAACATTTCAGCTAATCCCTTTAATTTTTAAAATCCAGTACCCCAAAATAATAATTTTTTTCTACATATAAAATTATATTTTCTGAAGAAAATACATATTTCTATAGTATGAACAATTACATAATTAAGATGAGTTTGTTTTTCAGAGTCTGTTCATGTCATAAAAATCAAAATAGATGATTCTGTACATATTTTTCAGTATCATGTCCTGACAACAAAATAATCACACTTTGCCTATTATTTCTTATTTACTGGCTTAGATCAAACTATTATGTTTTGGGCATAACCAAATAGGATTTTGTGGCCTTACTTCTATAATGGTGGAGCTATATACTAATCTTTATGTATGTCTACCTGTCCAGTCTTCTCTTTGGCACATAACCTCATTAGCATAACAAATATCACATGTTTTCTGCTCACATGGCTGATACTTGAGTTTATGGTACATCCATGGTGTGTCAATCATTTTCCATCATGTGTTATATCCAGCTTTCAACAATATCTTGTTACTACTCTGGAGTACATATTTCTGATCCAATTTTAATTAAACTTGGGATGTGGGTTTATGTCATCAAAATCTCAGATGGGTTAAATAATAAGGTGCTGTTGCAGTTGTTTATCAAACCTTGTTACTACTCTATAGGCCATCTGTCAGATCCAGTTTCAGTCAAACTTGAATATATGCTTATATCACTTCTCAAATCTGACAGGAAGCATCCGTGCATGATGGTCTTTCCCATTTGTTCAGATTATGCCAATTAGACATTGAATATGGCTCTTGTTACTACTGATAGAAAAACTCATAAGGTTAATGCTGCTGTAGGAATGTAAGTCATTCGTAACTTGTACTGCCTTATTAGTTATTACCTGTTCTCAAACTCAATGAGGAAGCATATGTCTGCAATAAACATGTATCTCAGTTATTTGTAATTAAGGAATAAAAACAGACACTCTTACATTTTAGAAAAACCTTTTCAAGACTTCTTAAGGGAATTTTTTCAAATATGAAAGTATTGCCAATACTAAAATGATAAATCCTTTAAGCAACTCTTGTTCAAAACTACCCAACAGAATTAAATCATATTTTATTTAAAGCATTCTGAAGTGAACATTCATCATACATGGATGTAGATACAGAATTTTGACACTTTGCTTTCTCAATATATGTTGTTAATGGCATTGAAAGAAATTTCAACAGAATCATACCGCTGATCCAGATTTCTTTGTGTGTGTGATGGATTTTTAACATAGCTTTACAATGTTTCAGTCATTACACTATGATATGTGCAGTTTATAGTGATATCTAGAATATTGGGCATTGTGCTGCAGACATGTAGCATGATGTCCAAACCAATCACATTATCCTGACACCTACCAGTCCAAACAATAACTCAGTAAAGCTGAACACCAAATGAGGTAGCTGCTAGTACCATTTTTGTAAGTCTTTGATATGACTCAGCTGGGGTTTGAACCCATGAACTCCTGCTTTTGAGGCAGATGCTCTAACCATTAGGCCACCAGAGCAATCTTTCTCGTTAGAGTAAAGCAAGGTAAGTAACCTATGATAAAGACTAATCACTGGTTTAGGATACACTTAGTTTTTCTCCTGGAGAGAAACTTTTGAAACAAATTGTAAAATGTCTTAAGGCCAAGTAAGGGGCCCCAAGTGGCGATGTGGTCTAAAGTGCTATTGATTACAGATCACTGCCATCTCACCTCTATGTCAGTTTGAGTCTTGGACCAGGCCAGTGTGGGTATATGAGAAAGCTAGCCAGTAGCTTCTCATGGGTTGGTAGTTCTTTTCGGGTTTTCCTGGTATCTTCCTCCACCATTAATACTGGGCACCTTGTATAGCCTATCAAGTTTAGAAAAATGGTGTTAAACCCTACAATAAGAACAAATGCCTAGTCATACCAAAGACTTTTAAAAATGGTACTAACAGCTGCATCACTTGGCGCTCAACATTAAGGGGTTAGTGTTATAACTGGATGGCCTGGTGTCAGGATAATGTAACTGGGTGGGACATAATGCCAAATGTCTGCAGCTTGATGCCCGAGTGCTAGATCTGCCACACTGCAGATATAGTAGTAATATGACTGAAAAATTGTTAAAGCTATGTTAAAATATCTAAATCACGCACACACACACACACACACACACAAATGGAATCTGTTTACAAAATAATATAAACTGGGGATTATAATAAATATTTTATTATTTAAACTGAAGAAAAATATGAGAATATAATTTTATTTGTATGACTAGTTGGTAAAATATGGCTTACAAGATAATATTGGTTTGCATTCTGAACTCCTAAGCATGAGTGCCATGTTAGATACACTGACTGGTCCTCTGTTGTATCCTTAGGCAAGGCAGTTTACTCTTATTACTCAACACAAACTACAACACTGAATGGAACTCCATGGAGGCACAAAATATATGACTTTTGCTGAGCTAAAGCTTGGATCTAAGTTTGGACAATGATATTAAATGTCTTCTGAAGTAGACTTTAAAATAATGATTTTTGTAAAAATTAATTATCTCTAATCTTTTAGGTCATCTGGTCATTGTCTATTGTGCAATATCCATCAGTCAACAACTGCTTATTTCCTGTCTGGACGTGATCATGAATCTGATTGACTTAGCTTTTTGGAGGCCATATTTTTAATCTGATCTTGATCAAAAATGGAGTAAATATACATGCTTTTATCATCAAGAACTCAATAATGAATGACTGATGCTCATATTAAGGCAAGTTTGCATCTCATTGGCTGAGCTGGTTGTCACTGAGTACAATATTTAGGAAGTGATTTTGAACAAACTTGAAATAGGTTTTTTTTTTGTCATCCAGATTTTTTATGAGTTTGAAAATGGGTGCCACTGATGCCTACTGTTGAAGTCATCTTGCAAATCATTGGCTAAATATTTTACCATTCTGATGAGGTGAGGGATGTATGCATATTAATGAGGTGATATTGCATGTGATTACCTGGATTTGCTGCCACTTTATAGACTATCCAGTTTTAATCCAACGTGGTCAAAAGGCTTCAAACATAAGATACTAGAAGTGTACAAATGTGAGCAAGAATCATGTATATCAGTGGGGTTTGCCTCAGATTGGTCAAACTTTTGTCAGTACTTTAGTGACTATTTCTGTTAAAATTTCTTTTAATATAAATATTGGTAAATAGGTTATAGTGTGATAGATGGAGGTTACTTGTAAATGAGACATTACTTCTGTCCTGATTGTAATCAGTCTTGGTAAATAGGCAAATATCATCCAGATGTTTGATGACCTTTATCGAGTCATGCACATTTATGAGATGATCTTGCATCTTATACAGAGGCTTTTTACAACTCTGGTGGCTGTCTATTTGAGCAGACTTGGCCAATAGACATATTTAATAAGGGTCTTGGTTGGGTGTCATGCATGTTAATGATGTTGCCTTACATCTGATTGGATAAGCCTGTCAGCATCTGACAGCTATGTTTCTGATCAGAAACTGACCATCTTGTTAAATGATCATATGTCATCTAGGTGATGGATGAGTTTGATTATGAGCAAAATCTACATATGCTGATGAGGAAATCTTAGTGGCTGAACATGTTATGACTCTGGACACAGAATTCCATTAAGATTCAGCTCCACCTTAAGCTTATTTGATCTTTGTCATAAAAAGTTTCTGTTCTGTTTGAGATTAACACATACGTTGCATCTTATTGGTTAAACTTGTTACCTGCCAAGGTCCAATGACTATATGTCTTGTGTAATTTCTATAAAACTTGATATCTGGGTTATATTGTAAAGACCTTGCAATACTATAATTATGACACAGACTTTGAATGTTAAGTTTGCTTATATCTTTAGAAAGAATTTGTATGAAGCTGGCATATTGTAAAATAGATACACTGACTTGATGTAAAAGTTTGGGTGATAGTTTTACAAAACTACATAAGCCTGCTTAGTGAACTGGTTGACTTAAGTTATGTAAACTAGGTGAGCAATATCAGACACACTTGGGTCTATTTATATTAATTCATCATAGCATGTCAACCTTAGATGTTCTTTTTATTACTTTATATCTTGTGCCTTTTGCACATGTATCAACAGAGTATTAACAAAATACTGACCATATAGTGCCCATTAAAAGTTATGTCACAATGTCCAGACAAAACAAAATTGCTAAAACATGTACAGGTAGTTAGAACAGTGGCCAACATTTTATTGTCAAGTTAACTTAAGTCTGAATTTATTTTCAGAATAAAGTTCTGCAGTGGTCATTTAGTCTAAATGAAAGCTTTATAGATAGAGCTGAACAGGTTAATAAATATTCTCTTCAGATCTGCCAGCACATTGTGGGTCTGTGCAGTTTGCAGTTGGATTCGTCTTATTAGCAAGTATATGTTACCTGTATGCATTATGCTAGAAAATTATCAAAAGTATTCAAATTAATTTCATGATCACTAAATTAGGCCAAACAAAAGTTGTGATGTTATGTGTCACAGTTTGTTGCACACCCATTCATTGGGCAGAAAGCCACTCGATCTTTTGGCACAGTAATTCTATCATGCAAGGTTCTTTTGCTGTACTAAGGATATAATACAATGACATTGGGATTCCATTAAGAGCAAAGTTCCATATGAAAATATCAATTTGTGTTTCTTTTTTTTTTTTTTGCAGAGCTGAATAGAGGCCATTGTTGATCAAAAAGATGCTGAACGAGCACAATGTTTTTCCCTCACTTGTGTATTATTAGAAATTATGTAAATTAACTAAATTAAAAATATCATGAGGTAAATATTCAACATAGAACTCTGATAAAGGCAACCAACACAACAACCTACAATTCCCTGGTTTTCCATGATTGCAGCAAGGTTTTTTGAGATGGTGCCTGATGGTTTCAAGACAGTGTCATTGGGCAACATTCCAGTTAATCAACTCTTATTAAATTTATTTTGGTGGCAAACCTAGTCAGATCAACTGGTACCTAACAATGACACTTTCGAAACCATGGGTATTGGAGCTGCCAGACAACTCAATGGAGCCTAATTGATGCACGATATTTCAGCTGAAACCAATCCCACAAGTGTTTTCAACCTGTCATCGAATTTATTGACCTATGTTTGGTCACTCAGCCCACAGAGGCTTTCTCCAGATTCCTGAATTTGATATGCTCATCATTTCCTGGGTTAGACAATTAGCGCCTGCCACTTTGGTCTGCAACGCCCGATAATCCGCAACCAAACTAGCAACGATCAGCATAGATCACTCCAAACATCATTGTAATATTCGAAGCACTCAAAGTGGCTTGAAAAAACACACAGCACATCACTGCACATGCAGTATATGCATACATATGCAGATTAACATCATTTGAGGTACCCCCTAGTGTTAAAAGTTAAAAGGGTTTAATGTGTTTTTATATCTCCATTGTGTATGTGTTTTTTGTGCTAAGTTTTTACTGAATTTTGATTTTATTAAATTAAATTAAATTTATTAAATTTTATTAATTTTAAATTATGGTATGTACACCATTCAAATCCATTATAACTCTAGCCATTACTTAATTTATATATTTTTTTAAAAATAATGCAGTAGTTAGTAAAGAAAGGAAACATATTGTTTAATAATATGTAGTCAGGTTTTAAAATAAAAGTTCAAAATCTTTATTTCTTGAAATAAATCTAATATTTAATGAATATATTACTAAGTTACTTTAACTTAAGATTTCAAATCAATTCACTTGATGAAGCATGGGCAACCTGCGCACCCTAGCTAGTGTAGCTTATGTACCCATGCAGCATGTTTACGATATAGCTATATAACTACATGTATTAGTTTATAACTTCAATTTTTAGCTATCAGTAAAAGTAATTATTTAATTATATATAAAAATTAATCCATAATTATAGTCAAATAAATGCGTTAAGACTTTGGTTATAAATTTCAGTGTAGTTAATTTATAATATTCATGTATTTGTTTTAAAGCTGTAGAAGATATAACTGTATCACAATTTCACACTTCCTTTTCTATTGTAATTGCAGTATGAATGAATAGTTCTCGTCTGAATCAAGTTCCAAGTAATATTGTCAAGTTATTATAAATTATAATGTAATTTAAAGTCCATGGATGGTCCATTTCATTTTCACATTGACATTTTTTACGTATTATGATTCTTTCCACAACCTTGGCTTAGCTGGGTCTTTCGCAAGAAAAGAAAAAATGTCAGACGTGAAATCAATTAATACTCACATGACACCACTTCATGCATGGGAATGTCTGAATCTAATTTCTATTTTGTAATAATTTTTTATTAATTTTTACAGTGTAATCTAAATCAGAGTCTGTGGACTAAAAGGCCTAAAAGTAGACCTTCGATTGACAAAATGGTTTGTAATGTGCCCATCTGATTTTAGTGTGATGCATTTATACACAGACAATTTAGCTCAACATCATATGTGCAATTCATGTATTCTGGTTTAACCATCTAAAGCAATTTGCATGTGCAGCAGAGTTTAAATCA